CCGCATCTATTTATGCTACCCCACCGCCAGACTTAAGCAGTGAGGACACTGCACTTTCCGATGTCTCGAATGCATCTTCGCTAAATAATCGCAGTAGCAACAACAGCAACAGCAACACTACTAACAACAACACAAACTACAACAACAGCACAACTACAAGCAACAACAACACAACCAGAACAAACCCAGTAGCAAATAAACAAAAACGCACAATTTCCGAAGTCCTAGCCGGCAGTGGTGGTGGTGGTGGTGGTGGTGGTGGTGCAAGCCAAGTTGATCAGCAGTCGCCAAAACGCTGCACTAGCGCATCACCAAAAGCGTCTAACGGCGGCATCACTACAAGTGCCGCAATTACAGTTGAGGAGGCCATTGATAGTACAACAATACGAGATGAAGGGGTAATTGACGATGACGCCGACATGTCAACGACATCATCGCCAACAGAAAGCGCCTCAGCTGCCACAATAGCGGCCGTAGCAGCGGCAGCTAATGCAGCAGCCATGCAGCTGCAATTGTTGGAGGCGCTCAACGATGCTGCAAAGAAGAGACGCAAACAAAATAATCCCAGTCGATTGGGGGCGCAGGCAGCAGCAGCAGCCGCCGCGGCAGCACTACAGCTAAACGAGGCCAATGAAGGGGCGCTAATCAATGCGACTGCAGAAGCCATAATTGCAGATAANAACACTGCCAATAGATTACGAAGAGAAATTATCGAAAATGTTCTTACCAAAGTCAATGGAACAGCTGAAGGAAACGTTTGAAATGTTGCAGCAGCAAAGGCAACAGCAATTTGGAGACATATCACCAGATGCGGGCGAGGTACGCGACGGATCGAATCTTTCGACGCCCCACGAAATTATACCGAAAAGAGAGGCGCATTTGGAGGCGAAAATTTGCAACGCCGAAGAAGTGAGTGAGCAGAAAGCCACAGAGCTACAGGCATCAGCCGATGAGCGGCAGAACCCTTATCACACGTTCTGCAAAACATGTGGCGAGAACTTTGAAACCGAATTTAAGCTTGGCTTGCATATGCTGCAGGAACATCAGAATGATGAGCTGGAGCAGGGTAGCATTGGCGGCGCTGTGGAGGATGCACAACAAAAGGCGGAGCACATGCCATACGATATGCTTGGCGCAGTGAACGTAAAAATCGAGCGTCCCGACTATGACAACTCTACGTCTCCACCTGCCGCCGCCTCGAGCAACAAAAATGAGAGCTCTACACCCAGCCTGCTGACAAATGGCAAAGAACCCTGGTTGCACGCAATGCCGGGCATGGGTTTCCCCTTTCCACCGGAGGCTGCTGCTGCTGCTGCGCTCTCAGCCAGCGGCTATCTGCCACTCCTTGGCATGCCTGGCTTCCCCAGCGTCGACGGGTTAAATCGTCCGCCGTTGCGCATTTTCAATCCCGAAGCTTATTGCGATCTCTGCAACAAAGAATTCTGCAACAAATACTTCCTCAAGACGCACAAGGCCAACAAGCATGGCATCTACGATCCGGCCGTTTCGGGCAGCGGCGAGTGCGGCAACAGCGCTGCGGCTGGTGGGAATATAAATGCCATGACGCAAATGTTACAACTTCAAATGCAACAACAGCAACAACAGCAACAGCAGCAGCAGCACAGCATGCAACAATTGCAGCAGAAACAACAACTGGCCTTGGAAGAGGTTCAGCAGAAGCAACTCAGCGCACAAGCAGCCAACAGCGCAACCGCACAACAACTTACACCGCCCGCACCGCCGCCGGTGTATTGCGACATTTGCTCAAAACGTTTCACCAATGTCTTCGCCATGCGTCGTCATCGCGCCAAATCGCACGAACAGCTACCGCGTAACAGCCCTGGTGGCGAGCAGCCGATACCGACGCCACCACCGCAGCCACCCCAGTCCACAGCGAAGTCAGATACAGCCGCTGCTGCACAAAATGAAACGAAACATGAATCGGTGGTCACAGATGCTGCTAGTTCTGGTGCTGGTAAACAGTTCCAAATGCCCGACGGCTTTCGGCAGGACTTCACGCTCGAACAAGAGGAAGTGGCTTTCACGCCACAACCACGCAAACTATCGCCGCAATCGCAACAGCAGGCGCGTGATGCCAACTTCGCACACGATAAGCTACGTCGGCTTGGCGTGCTCAATCCGGAAGCTTTCTGTGAAATCTGTTGCAAAGAATACTGCAACAAGTATTTCCTGCGTACGCACAAATGGAAGCGTCACGGCATATTTGTGCCACCAGACGACGTGAAGGATGAGCAACTGCAGCTGACGCAGAAGATATCATGGCCATTCATGGGTCTGCCGGGCATGCCGCTGAACTTGATGATGGCTGGCGACAAAACGCTTATGGCACAACGCATGTTTGCGGCCGCCAATGCAGCTACTTCCGCCACAGCCAATGCTAGCGTGGATGAGACGAATCAGCACATGGCCAAACGCATCAAGCTCGAGCAAGTGGACGAGGACATATCACGCGGTAATGACGAAAATCAAGAGAATAAGTGCTCCTCCGGTCGTCAATCTGCTGAGCAACCGTCACAGCAGGCGGCTAGTAATAGCATGCCATCTACGCCAGAGCCACAAAAGATTTTAGCAGAATCCTACAATTCGGGTGCCAATATGCCGGCTAGCCCTGAGGCTGTGGCGGGTTTGCAAAATCTCCAAAAGCTCCAATCAATGATACAACAACTCAATGACTTGAATGGCAAGCGTTCGTTGGGCTGTCACCTCTGCGGCAGGGAAATGGAGAACCAATATACGCTACAAGCACACATTGTAACCGAACACGCTGGTCTCTTTGATAGCAGTGCCAGTACGCTGCCGCTGAACTTTCAGCAACACCTATTTCAGCAGCAGCAACAGCTGCAGGCCCAACAAGCGCTCAAACTCTCGCCATCCGGCTCACCAGGTGTTCTACCACCGCTCAACGAGATGCGCTGCAATCAGTGCGATCGCGACTTTGCCAATATACAAGAATTCAAACAACATATCGCCGAAGTCCATCTGCTGTCAGGTAGTCCACTCCGCGAAGGTTTTGTCACACCCGAACGTCCGATAAACCCGAGTGCCGCAGCCACTAACTCACGACCGCCCTACACCATCACACCCACCAGCAGCTACTGCGAAATCTGCAATAAGGAGCTGTGCAACAAATATTTCATGAAGACGCACATGCAACGCATGCACGGCATCGAAATCGAGAATGGCGCACAAATTGGTGGCGTTGTTTGCAACATCTGCAACAAGGAGCTTTGCAGCAAATATTTTCTGCGCGTGCATAAACACAACACGCACGGCATTGTTGAGGAGGGCGCACCGCTGCCGCAACCACGCCAGAACGGGTTGAGCTTCGAGGCTCAACAGCAACAGCAACAGCCGCCGCCACAGTCGCAGCAACAGCCACAACTGCCAGCTGCAGAAAATGACTACAGTCGCGGACTTAACCAGAGCCCCTTTGGCAGCGGCAACTCCGGCGACTCCAAATCGGACTACGCCAATTATACAGAGGTCTGTGTAATTTGTACGCGCCGCTTCCGCAGCGCCAAGTGGCTCCGTGGTCATTTGCTGAGCGATCACGGATCGGCGGGCATTGAAAAACTGCGCGAAATCGAGCAGCAGTACGGCCCGCTGTGTAAGTCTACTAGCCCCACGCTCAAAATCCCCAACGGCTCGGGCACCTCCGGACCTAGCGGCGGCGGCGGCGGCGGCAGCACTAGTACAGGTAGCAGCGCCAGTACTGCTGCTGGACTTCTACCGAACCCCACGAATCTTGCTCAAGCTCTGCAAAACCTAAATGCGCAACATTTACTCGGCAACATGCCCAAGAATATGTTACCTGGCATGTTTGGTGTGGTCGCCGAACAGGCACTCCAATCGCCGCGTCTGCAAGAGTATCAGTGCACGATGTGTCCCTTCACCACTCCCTATTACGCATTTCTATTCATACACGAACGCTCGCATTCGCTGCTCGGTGGTGGTGGTGGCGTTGCTGGTGACCTGAGCGCTGCCGCCGCACACGACCAATTCATGGGCAGCACTGGTACAAAAGACGAAGCAGGTGGACGTGACGAGGTCAAATCAAAGGCGGACAGCACTAGTAGTAGCGCATTAGTGGCGGACGACAAATTTCAAGTGGCTCCGTTGATGCCAACTAACAGTGCTGC